AAATAAAGTTTCGACCCCCATAATGTAAAATGTGCCATGAGACCCGTTAAGATCCGGTTACAATTGATCTTCAGTAACCCATGCTTGTCGTGAGAGGCGACTAACGGGATCGGGTGGTCAGGCTTGCTGACTTGGTTGACACATGTCATCGTATCCCAATAGCGTAGATCGATGTTCAGGATGTTGATCACTGGATTGTCTGGTCCAGACTCGATTAATTAGAGACCGCCGCCAGCTGGAATATTGCTGAGTGCGGCGTGAAACTTAACTCACTCACTCACTAATATACGCCATGAAATCAATGCGAGTAGCCGTAACTTTGAGACAAATCAGTAAGTACAAACTCTAAGACCTTAGTCTTGGAATCCAATTATATAAAAAAGGGATTACCTGTTCGATTGAATAACACCCCTAAAACTAACATCAGCTGCTGTCTGTCATCTCACTTTCATTGAAAACCAAAGCAGGACATTACAAATGAGGCACATTCAAATTCACATGCAAATAGCCAAGCTTCAACGACGATGTCAGGTTACATCGAATACGCCCAATCCTTTGTGCCCATGCCCTTCAGCAGTAAGTTATGTTTAATCCACGATAGTTGTCACTGTGCCAGGCATAAACCCTACTCATAAGTCGTGATGTCTCTCACTGGAGACTTTAAACACTGGCCAGAGGGAACTGCGCGTTTTATCGTATATGACAAATTACATTAAAGCCTTGTTTATGTACTCAAACATCTACATATTGAGAAAACACCTTTCCAAACATAATGGGAAACATTTCTTTGATGGGCATTTCTTAGAAGCTGAGTTTTCGATGAAGAATAATGACAATTATTATGGATATACAACTTCTTTTATTCTGTGGAGGCGACGTTTCGACGTAGGTTCTAATGTCGTTGTCAAGTTTGGCTACCAAGCTTGTAGATATGTAGATTGCCATGTCTCCATGTAGGTAGACGACGTATAACCCGTTTGCGATGGGCATTTTAGAAGTATCTTCAGTAACCCATGCTTGTCGTGAGAGGCGACTAACGGGATCGGGTGGTCAGGCTTGCTGACTTGGTTGACACATGTCATCGTATCCCAATAGCGTAGATCGATGTTCAGGATGTTGATCACTGGATTGTCTGGTCCAGACTCGATTAATTAGAGACCGCCGCCAGCTGGAATATTGCTGAGTGCGCCGTGAAACTTAACTCACTCACTCACTAATATACGCCATGAAATCAATGCGAGTAGCCGTAACTTTGAGACAAATCAGTAAGTACAAACTCTAAGACCTTAGTCTTGGAATCCAATTATATAAAAAAGGGATTACCTGTTCGATTGAATAACACCCCTAAAACTAACATCAGCTGCTGTCTGTCATCTCACTTCATTGAAAACCAAAGCAGGACATTACAAATGAGGCACATTCAAATTACATGTAAATAGCCAAGTCAACGACGAAGACAGGTTACATCGAATACGCGCAATCCTTTGAGCCCATGCCCTTTCAGCAGTGTTATGTTTTAACCACGACAGTTATTACTGTGCCAGGCATAAAAACCTAATTACAAGTCGTGATGTCTCTCACTGGAGACTTTAAACACTGGCTAGAGGGAACTGCGCGTTTTATCGTATAGTGACAAATTATTAAAGCCTTGTTTATGTACTCAAACATCTACATATTGAGAAACACCTTTCCAAACATAATGGGAACATTTCTTTGATGGGCATTTTAGAAGTTGAGTTGATGAAGAATAATGACAATTATTATGAATATACAACTTCTTTTATTCTGTGGAGGCGACGTTTCGACGTAGGTTCTAATGTCGTTGTCAAGCCTAAGCTACCAAGCTTGTAGATAGTGGTGATTGCCACGTCTCCATGTAGACGACGTATAACCTGTTTGATGGGCATTTTAGAAGTTGAGTTGATGAAGAATAATGACAATTATTATGGATATACAACTTCTTTTATTCTGTGGAGGCGACGTTTCGACGTAGGTTCTAATGTCGTTGTCAAGCAAGTGATAGAACCTATGTCGAAACGTCGCCTCCACAGAATAAAAGAAGTTGTATATCCATAATAATTGTCATTATTCTTCATAATGGGAACGTTCGACAATGGAAGCAATGAAACTGCATTGATGTATAATATTTATTGATTGGTTGTTCGATCTGCATATTCATAGGATTGAAAGTTTATCAGATCTAATAGAATCGATAACACCGTCAATTATATGAATCACTACATTTATGCCATGCATGCATTCCGTTAGTCTTCTTCGACTAAGACTAAGACAATGTGAAGCGTGCTGTATGGTTGTCTTTATGGATTGGTCTTCAGTAACCCATGCTTGAGGTGACTAACGGGATCGGGTGGTCAGGCTCGCTGACTTGCTTGACACATGTCATCGGTTCCCAATTGCGTACATCGATGCTCATGATGTTGACCACTGGATTGTGTGGTCCAGACTTGATTATGACAGACCGCCGTCATATAGCTGGAATATTGCCGAGTGCGGCGTTAAACAATAAACCAACCTTAGATGCGTGCAAATGCACTATATCTAATCAATCTGACAGACCCGATACATAGCCTCAAGGTCCCCAACTGTTACAAAAGAACGAAAAGAGTTATAAACAAGTATCATATTAATTTGCACTCGTGTTACAAAATACATTGTTATAAAACCTAATGAATGTTCGACATCCGGGCCCCTTGCATCGTGGGAGTTAACTGGTTCAGCCCTGTAATGGAGTATGGCAGGCCTCCGGAAAACACTATTAACAATGCAATAAAGCGATACGTTAATATTAGTTTAAAATAAGTATCATGGGCAGGTTTCTCGTCGGGATAAAAATGGTATTTGGTGGGGTCACATACGCTCAAGATGCAAACATGAAAGGTCAAGAAGTGGGTGCAGGCAGTTACATTTGCCAGTATGTAGTAAATGAACCGGGTGTCAGAGAGAACTATATTGTCACTGTCAGAGTGACACATCACTGACCTTATGTAACATATATTTATGTTCCAGTTCCAGGAAATCTTGCAATGCTTGGTTAACTTTCGTGAGAGATAAGAACAGTGTTTTTCGACGACACAATTTACGAAAGAAGGCTAAGCCAACCGCAATGCAGCTTCCAAATACAGAGTGAGTGAGTGAGTTTAGTTTTACGCCACACTCAGCAATATTCCAGCTACATGGCGGCGGTCTGTAAATAATCGAGTCTGGACCAGACAATCCAGTGATCAACAGCATGAGCATCGATCTACGCAATTGGGAACCGATGACATGTGTCAACCAAGTCAGTGAGCCTGACCACCCGATCCCGTTAGTCGCCTCTTACGACAAGCATGGGTTACTGAAGATCAATATTCTAACCCGGACCTTCACGGGTATCCAAATACAGAGGATTTACCAATCCAAAATGCAAATGCAGAATAACCGCTCTGTCCATCTAGAGAACCCACAGCAGCCGTCATTCAGAATAAACATATCGTTCGTAGTTTCGATATGTTTCGGAAATTGTTTCGCTAATGTCACTGGATTGTCTGGTCAAGATTCGACATGTCCATGAATGGATATTTTCGCCGCATCATAATTGAATTCACTGCCTAACACATAAACAATATCCATATGTTTGGTAGGATACTTCCAAATCTAACAATAATAATAATGATAAGGTCACTTATGTAAGGCCACACGGGCATGCTCGAAGCAAAATGGACATTATTATCCCTGATAACCCATTCTGCTTGTGAGGCGCTAGAAGGTTCTATAGTCACATGACTTATCCCACCGGGTACCCATGTTCTGCTAGGTGAACAGTGGCTATTTGAACAAACTCACTTGCCTAATGTGAGTCATGTGTCACATTGCTTCGTTGTGGAACAGAACTTCCAACATGCCCATGGTTACTGTATCAAGTACCGTTAGGCAACACAAGACAAATACACCCGAGGGCCTCTTGTACGGTTTATTCCACAGAATGTCCCTCAACAAGCAGTAGCCATTACACTTGACCTTGACGTCGTCTTGTCGAGAGAAGACATTAATGTTGGCCGCTCTTCCAGTAATGTCTGTGACACTTGATACTGAAGCCATTTCCAGCCATCGATCTTGGCGCTGTCCATTCGGGCAAGTTCAGTGTTATATCTGGAGGTACATGATCGTCCAGTGGTTGGCGTGTTGCCTCAGTAAGTGAGTGTTAGGTTTACGCCACTTTTAGCAATATTCCAGCAATATCACGGCGGAGGACACCAGAAATGGGCTTCACACATTGTACCCATGTGGGGAATTGAACCCTGGTCATCGGCGTAACGAGCGAACGCTTTAACCACAAGGCTATCCCACCGCCCCTCATAAAACAGTGTTCAATGATGGGTACGTTTACCGAAGAAAGCTACAGGATTGCTTCAGCTTCAGTATCAATGAATACAACTTCCCCCTAGCAATTAATAAAGAGTGCTATGCATTAGTAAATACTGTTTTAGACTTAAAGAATTAGTTTCGACCAAGAAATATCCACGATAACCTTCGCCAAAACTAGCAACCATGGTTCTAAACCAAAACTGTGATATCCGTATCTTGTTTGAAATTACGATCAAATTTGGTGTATTTTGTTCAGCATTTAGAATCACAGAGAGGGGAATGAAGGAATTTTGAAAGGAGGAAGGGAGGGTGCGTACAGATAAGGAACCCTCAGCTTCAGTTTTGAGAGAGGGTACCACCCCCAAAATAGCTATGATTTCCTGTATTTCAATAATACCAAGCTATTAATTGTTTATTCATTTCATTGGAATTCCGAGGATTTGGAGGCGTGGAAACGATCCCCACTACTTCCCACCCCTACTAATCTGCTCCTCCCCGCCACCTTATTCAAGATCCATAACCATCAAAGTGCATATTTTCTGTCAAATACGGCACAGAGTGGAATGCTGACACGTCCAAAACAAACTTTTCTCACCAGGTTTGGTTGGTCGTTTAACGCCGCACTCAGCAATATTCCAGCTATATGGCGGCGGCCTGTAAATAATCGAGTCTGGACCAGATAATCCAGTGATCAACAGCACGGGCCATATAGCTGGAATATTGCTGAGTGCGGCATAAAACTAAACTCACTCACTCACTTATTCATTACATGATTATTCTTTCACAGATTGGTGTTTGCTGTGGGGACGCTGATGATGACTTTCACGGGTGCAGGTAAAGACGTCCATCATTTGTATTGTTGTTGTTGTTGTTGTTGTTGTTGTTGTTGTTGTTGTTGCAGTTAGTAACAATGAAACGTTCGCTCTAAGATTGTAGAACGTGTAAAACCAACGATATGTCAAGTTACTAGTAAACAACTGTGCCTCTACGAATATTGCTTGTTCCAAATGTCTGCGCGTTTATTCGACATGACGAGATAAGGGCGTTGTAGTTCGTCATTTGTCAGTGTATGTACATGTAATTAGCTTGTACGTATAGCTAAGTGATTCGGCACCTCCCAGGGGTGTACATTGGTGATAAGTACGCATACAGCCATAATCATCCAGCAGAGTGAGTGAGTGAGTGAGTTTAGTTTTACGCTGCTTTCAGCAATATTCCAGCAATATCACAGCGGGAACACCAGAAATGGGCTTCACACATTGTACCCATGTGGGGAATCGAACCCTGGTCTTCGGCGTGACGAGCGAACGCTTTAACCACTGGACTACCACACCGCCCTCTAGCTGAGAAGAAAGCAATCTGCTACTGCGCTCTAACATAACGTATTCTCGTATCAGTGTGGCTTTGACTATGTCCTATTCGACGTTGCATTTTAAGTTACTTATTCAATATGCTGTTTAATACGAATTGTTGGTTCGAAATGAGTTCCAAATTCACACCCAAGTTGAACCAGAAATTGGCTCGCGGAGAACTAAATTGTATTCAATACATGACCTCATACCATCAATGAAAAGTCCATAGAAATATTCAAACACACTGTTTCAGATGGACAATCAAAATCGTGGCAATACGTGACAGCAAAAATGAGTTAACAGGCTCTCGAATTAATGTAAATTCATCCATGAATGTTTCAATATTGTTGGTGTTGACTGTCTTGAAAGCGGCCTGTCTACGAGCCATAAAGCGCTCGTAGCGTTACGACCTGTCGTAATGCTATACTTTATCGTGGGCTTGCGAATGGCGTAGTGTTACGACCTGTCGTAATGCTATACTTTATCGTGGGCTTGCGAATGGCGTAGCGTTACGACCTGTCGTAATGCTATACTTTATCGTGGGCTTGCGAATGGCGTAGCGTTACGAACGATTTGTGGATATGGTCCAGAATAGCACAGGGAACTGATAGAAATTCTGTGTTTCAAAATGGGTATTCAGACTGCTCTTGGCATGTTTGTCTTTTGTTTAACGCCTCACTAAGCAATCTGACCCGTGAAGATCCGGGGTAGAATAGATCTTCAGCAACCCATGCTTGCAATAAAAGGCGACTCGCTTGTCGTAAGAGGCGACTAACGGGATCGGGTGGTCAGGCTCGCTAACCTGGTTGACACATGTCATCAGTTACAATTGCGCAGATCGATGCTCATGCTGTTGATCACTGGATTGTCTGGTCCAGACTCGATTATTTACCGACCGCCGCCATATAGCTGGAATATTGCTGAGTGCGGCGTAAAACTAAACTCACTCACTCACTATGCAATGTTCCAACTATATGGCGGCGGTCTGTACATACTCGGGTCTTGACCAGACAATCCAATGATCAACAGCATCATCATTTAACCTTAGTGGCATACGATGAGATGCATCAATTAAGTCAGCACCCTATCTTGACAGTCGCCTCTTACAACAGGAATGAGTTGTTGAAACCCAATACTAACTTAAAAGGTGTGCAAGTAGATTAGAATTACATCAGGTTGACAAGACCTCGAATCGCACTCTTGCCGTTCTTATGGTACAACCTGCCTTCTACACAACCTGTTCAATCCAGAACCTCAAGAACTGTCAAGTCGCTGCTCCCTACAGCGGTTAAAGCTATGATAGCATTATAAAATTTATATATATTTTGAACTAGTAGTCAAATTTGTATGATCTTATTGACAATTACTGCAGATGGACAGACACTACCACCACATAACATATATTTACCATTCCTTCCTACTCCTTCCAGCCTTCCCCTGGCTAATCGTCCCCGCAATGAGTCTGACCGGTGTCGCCGGCACCGCCGTCCTCCTCACCAACCTCCAGATCGCGAACTTATTCGGCCGGCGGAGGCACACAGTCGTGTCAGCATACGCCGGTGCTTCGGTCTCCAGTGCCCTCATCACATTTCTGATGAAGGTAGGTATCACTCCGCCACATTCATTACAGTTGAGTGAGTGAGTGAGTGACAGGTTCGCTGACTTAGCTGACACGTCATCGTGTTCCAAATTGTGTAGATCGATATTCGTGATGTCAGTCACTGGATTGTCTAATCCAGACTCGATTATTTACAGACAGCCGGCACATAGCTGAAAAATTGCTGAGTACGGCGTTAACAACGAGTCGCCCAAAGCTGCTGGATCCCCGTGAAGGTTCAGCGTTCATGAGCACAACAGACAGGATCGGGTGGTCATGGTTTATGTGGTCATCGTATGCTAATCTTTCATCGATGCTCATGATGTCAATCTCTGGATATCCATCCCAGACTCGATTGTTTACAGAACGCATACATATATCTGGAATATTAAAATTGCTTTGTGTGAAAACGTTAAGTAACGTCAGAAATATTGGTGCTGCTGTTTGCCCTGCAGTCAAGGGGTACCCGGTAGGATACGATGATATGTGAATGTAAAGGTCTTACAGGAAGTAGTAACTAGGAAGTCGCGGTAGCTGAGCGGGTTAGGCGGCTGACTTTGTGTGCTGGCGTATTAGTAGTTGGCGTTTCTTAAGTCAACGTGATATATTCATATTTACATGCCAACAATTTTTATCGTACAAAATGATAAATTTACATGGCTAATTCATGTTGTTTTACGAACTACTTTGCTTATGCTATGACGATGGTAATGAATATGACAAGGGCGTCATAGTTGTGATTAGGGTCATTAATGTGCAGAGCTTGGCGACTGTTTTCACCCCAGTAGTGCTTTGATAATGTATTTATTGTTTTAGTCAAAACCAATTTCGAATATGTTGGACATCTTACATGATAAAATGTTCTTAATAAAATGTAAACATATATTTATTTAAAACACAGTGAGAAAGTAACGAAAAGGTTCAGAGGAATTACGGAATAACAATCCATTCTCATTATCTTATGGGGCGGAGGGGTAGAACCGTGGTTACAGCGTTCGCTCGTCACGCCGAAGATCCGGGTTCGATTTCCCACGTGGGTACAATGCGTGAAGCCCATTTTTGGTGTCCCCCGCCGTGATATTGCTGGAATATTGCTAAAAGCGTTAACCTGAACTCACTCACTTACTTGTTCCACAAACTTAGCGAGTCTTGGTAACATTTCTATGTTATGTTAATGGTTTATGAAAGTTAAATTGCATCATGAAACCAAGTGACCAGAATGTGTAAAATGGCTTCTTTAAGATACTAAGTGTTGGCGGTTGGAACTGAAATAGCACTCTCGTCTCCTTAATATTGATCTGTAGGAAATGGACGCATTTGATGGCATTAGAAGGGATTGCTGTGTAATGGAACAGTACATGTTGGGAAGGGCAGCTGTGGACAACGGTCGCGACGTCCTGCTTCGGCCCGTGTTGTAGTCGTGGCCTAATTGCCGTCACAGACGCCGTATGACGTCAATCGTTACCTTCGAGGACTGTTTCCTCGTTCCATAACATGGGCTTATGCTCCCGTGCGTTGAAGTAGACGTAAGACAGTCGTATGCTTTGTTGTAGACTTACGACGGTCGTATCTTCATGCTTTGTTGTAGACTTACGACAGACGTATCTTCCATGCTTTGTTATAGACTTACGACAGACGTATCTCCCTTGCTTTGTTATAGACTTACGACAGACGTACCTCCCTTGCTTTGTCATAGACTAAGGACAGACGTATCTCCCTTGCTTTGTCATAGACTTACGACAGACGTATCTCCCTTGCTTTGTCATAGACTTACGACAGACGTATCTCCCTTGCTTTGTCATAGACTTACGACAGACGTATCTCCCTTGCTTTGTCATAGACTTACGACAGACGTATCTCCATTGCTTTGTCATAGACTTACGACAGACGTATCTCCCTTGCTTTGTTATAGACTTACGACAGACGTATCTCCCTTGCTTTGTCATAGACTTACGACAGACGTATCTCCCTTGCTTTGTCATAGACTTACGACATCTCCCGCATTGCTTTGTTATAGACGACAGACGTATCTCCCTTGCTTTGTCATAGACTTACGACAGACGTATCTCCCTTTGCTTTGTCATAGACTTACGACAGACGTATCTCCCTTGCTTTGTCATAGACTTACGACAGACGTATCTCCCTTGCTTTGTGCTTATCTCCTTTGCTTTGTCATAGACTTACGACAGACGTATCTCCCTTTGCTTTGTCATAGACTTACGACTTGACGACACTCCCTTGCTTTGTCATAGACTTACGACAGACGTATCTCCCTTGCTTTGTCATAGACTTACGACAGACGTATCTCCCTTGCTTTGTCATAGACTTACGACAGACGTATCTCCCTTGCTTTGTCATAGACTTACGACGGTCGTATCTCCCTTGCTTTGTCATAGACTTACGACAGACGTATCTCCCTTGCTTTGTCATAGACTTACGACAGACGTATCTCCATTGCTTTGTTATAGACTTACGACAGACGTATCTCCCTTGCTTTGTATCTCCCTTGCTTTGTCATAGACTTACGACAGACGTATCTCCCTTGCTTTGTCATATAGACTTACGACAGACGTATCTCCCTTGCTTTGTTATAGACTTACGACAGACGTATCTCCCTTGCTTTGTCATAGACTTACGACAGACGTATCTCCCTTGCTTTGTCATAGACTTACGACAGACGTATCTCCCTTGCTTTGTCATAGACT